CAACAAGCATCTTCTGATGCCAGAAGAGCCGAGGGACGCGGTGGTGGACAGAATTGACAGAGTACTTCACACACCCTAGCAGCCTTTCGCCCTGGGAACGTGTCAAGCAGGCAGACCCAAGTCCTGTGGCCACCACGGATTCCAGGAAATTCATAGTGAAATAGTGAAATAAGAAAAACGATCTGGCCAGGCACATCTCTCTATCCTTAGAGGCAGGCATCACTTGCCTTCCGATTTCACAAGTTGACTTAAAAGGACCCAGCAGACTCCCTTGGGAATATTGCATAGGTTCTAAATTGAGGTTTTTTTTTTTTTTTTTTTTTAAGAAAACACTTTTTGGAAGGAGCTTGCATACATAGCAGTGTTTCCCATTTAGAAAGAAAAATAAACACTCCTCTGCTGGATTGGAAGTCAAAACAAAAATAATCCCAGTTGCCTAAAACCTAAGCAAGTCAATGAAAATGCTAAACAACTTTGCTGCTGGCCAGTGAGGCATTTTCTAAGGCCATGCAGGGAGGACCTGGAGCCAGGGAAAGCCAAGGACATGTGGGGTTTGGCTTTGGGGGATTTTTTTGCAATAATTTTGCAACAAATTTTTGTATTGAAAATATCTAGGCTGATTCATCTATGAAACCCTTGAAATCCTCATAGAAATATACCACAAAGATTCCACGTTATGGTCTCAGAGAGGCCTGGGGTTCAAATCTGACCCTGTCACTTAGAGGCCCTGTGAGGCAGAGGAAGGGGCTCACCTCTCTGGGCCCCTGTTACTTTGATGAGACAGGGTAGATAAAAGGAGTCAATGACTCCCTAAGGAGGAGGCTGCCCAGCGCTGGGTCCTCATCAGTGTTTGTGAGGTGACAAACAGGAGTGAGACAACCCCGAAGTCTTCAAAAAGAAAAAAAGTCCAACCCAGTTCTGGGGGATTCCTTCTATCTTCAGTCTTACTGTGGATACAGAAAGACCTGGAGCTGGCATTAGAGAAAAGAAAGAGAGGCCCTGGAGGCAGTACGCTTTGGTTTGGAGTCTTTGTCTTCCAGTGGGGCCGTGATTAAGTCACTGCCCTCATCTCTGGGCTTCAGTTTCCCCCAAAGTGAAATGCCAATAAATTCAAGCCCAAAGATGATAACACATATAGGAAATGCGTGCATACAGAAGGTGCTCATTAGATGTATGTTCTCTCACCATCCCCCAACGCCCCCAGGCTTCCAGAAGCTCTTCACAGCCTTCTCAGGGCTCTTTATTTCCTGACCCTATTAAGCTTACCCCTAAATTTCCAAAGCCCCCTGGCTTCAGAATTCAGATGAGCACAATTCATGAAACACTGTTGATTCTGGACGTTTCTATGGGGTTAGGAAAAGCATCTACTTAATCCTAACCACTTCCTGAGAGCCTGGACTGTGACCAGTCGATATTTTGGTGAATTCTGTTCCTATTCACACCAGTGACTTCTGGACGAGTGCCCTGGGGAGGATTAGGATTGTGATGACAGAAAGAGGCATTTACCCTCTCTTCTTTTCCATGGGGACAATGAGCTGTGTGGAGATGCCCCACGCTTCTCTCTGCACTTTACATGGGGATTTCTGCAGGGCAGCTCTGAGGCCTCGCAGACCCAGGTCCCAGCTCTGGCTGGAGCTGACAGGACTGCTAGCAGAGACTCGGGAAGAATAGCTAGAAGACAGCCTGGCCCCCGAGAAGGCTGGTTCCAAATGGACAGCTCCCTCCCATCACCTCTGGGAACCACTGGAAAGTGAGAAACCTCTGCACTGTCATCCTCCAGTAGCCAGGGAAGCAGCCTGTGTCATGTAAAGTACAGTCGGAAGGAAGTCTCAGGTGAGCCACCCTCCAGGGGGTTAGCATTTGACCTGCCTAGGGTGGCCTCAAACCTCAGCTCAGTAGCAGAAGGTGGGGTATGGCCACAGGGACGCCCAGGACCTCTTAGGTTAGCTCCGCTTTTGACTCACATTCCTACTACACAGCTTTGTCATTTTAAAACTACCTAAACCACGGCAGGTTGTCCTTACCTCATGGGTGGAGCCGCTGACTGCGAGGTGAGAGGGACCTTGGCTAAGATGGCACCTTGAGGATCTGGCTCTGTAGCTTGCTCACTGGGTCACTTATGAGGTAAACACTGAATAAAGAGCATTTTTGTAAGACCGGGGACCAAACTGATAAAAAGTGTTGTTTCTGGAATACAGATTGCATGAGAAAGTCACTTTTCACTTTGCTGGATTATCTGAGGTGTAAACAGACAGCCTTACTTTTATAATTGACAAAAGCAATGAAGATAATTTCATTAAGATATATTCACCTCCCCCTGAAAAATCAAATAAAACCTTACAAACATTTACTGGGTAGTGACCTGCTTATTGTCACTTGCACCAGGACGGGACCCTCCCACATGGGACTTCAGGGCCAGGGAGACAGTAAGACTCTCATGGCACCTACCCCAGAACAGCAGCCAAGCAGGACGCAGATTCTCCCTTCCCGCAAAGGACCCATTTACTAATGACGTTTAGAGCGGCCCTGGGGACGGACTCCATAGCATGCCAAGGCCCCTGGGAAGCAGGAGCGCAGAGGAGCTGAGCTGAGCGAACAGCTGGAGGCCAAAGGCCTCCTGTGGGCTCTGCACATCAACAAAACAGCAGCTCCTCAGCCTGCCTCAGAACTGTGACAAAGCCGGGGCTCCGGGTCAGTTATTAGCAAAGGGGGGAGATTAAGGACCTTCATCTGTTGTCCTCTCTTTTCCTGCAATTCTTATTTACTCAGAAACGACTGAAGAACATTATCATTTATCTATCAATCTATCTGTATTTGTTCTATATATGTGCGTTGATATATACATATATTGATAGATATTTACACACATAATTTTTCTTCCTCATTAAGCTGATGATGATAACTGGCAGGGGCATGATCATCACCACATGACATTAATAAAACCAGAGTATCTTAGAAACTGCTCCATCCCTGGTAAGAAGGCCTGAGGCGAAAGAGTGATTTGTCAAGGACAAATAGCCAGTGAACCGCAGAGCTGAGCATGGAACACAGGTCTTTCTCCCATAGTTCAGGGTTCCTGCTTCTGTCCTCTTTGAGGATGCCCTGTCTCAGAGGAAGCCCCAAAGATATGGGGGCCCTGGGGTGAATGGGTTTGGTCAGAGTATGCAGGGTCTGTGTGTGCATGCTCTATTCAGGCCCTGGAGAAGCCAGAGATGTTCTCCGTGAAGCCCATTACACCCTCCCATGTCAACAACTGTTTTGTGCCCAGTTCCGAAGTGCAAAGGTGTGGGAGCGGGCTCCCCAGTTCCTACCCAGGATTCTATGTCCATGCATGTCCAGAATAGTCCTGCTATAAAAGCCTGACCCATCCGACCCATTCTTTCCCACCCAGCCAGCATCTCCTACAGGAGGCACTTTCCAGTTCTTTCAGTCAGTGTGGAGACTTCCTTCCAGTCACCCTGGCATCCAGCACACTAGGCTCTGTCCTCCCTTATCACCTTTAGCTGGTCTCCCTCTGTTCCTGAGAGGAGAGACAGCCTTTGGTATCTCCCTCAGTGTGCTGAGTGCTCCAAGATTTGTGGAGAGCTTTTCCAGACAGCTCTGTATGTCCTCCACAGGGAAGTGGCAGGTGATAAGGCAAGCCCCACCATTTCCAAAACTTCTATCCCAGACGCTATGATGCTCTTCATTGTGACCTGGATACCATGCTGCCTGCTTTTACATTTGAAGGAACTTGGGGAGTCAGTGAGACTTGTCCAAAGCCCCCAGGGGACAGGGCTTCCTTTGGGTGTGGAGCTGTATGGTTCCATTGTCCACCGACAAGCCTGCCTCATGCTTCTCTCAATCTCAGGCACCTTTTCCAGAATATGGTTTAGAATGTAGCCCCATACAGGCACTTACAGGATTTATTTTATTTGAAATTATGTGTATATATGTTCATCTGTGTATGGGTACGTTCACATGTGTGCTGATGCCTGCAGGGGCCAACAGTATTGGATCTCCCTGGAGCTAGCATTTCAGGTGATTGGGAGGCACCTGATGTGGGTGTGGGACCCGAACTCAGCACCTCCAAAAGAGTAGTAGTCACTCTTAACCACTGAGCCATCTCTCTAGCCCCATACAGGCAATTATAAATAAATGCTTGCCACATCAATACAACCTCCCGCAGTATTTGTTAGAAAAGCACAGTTTCTTTTCTTCTATCAGAATAAGGAAACTTTTTAGGGTGCCATTATTGTGGTCCCAGGTTCTCACACACAGTCTTATATCGCTTTTGCTGGCTCTAACCCCCAGCAGGAACATCTTTCCACAGAAGTGCACTGGCCCCGCTGGACAGGTGGGTGTCTTGGGCCAAGTGTAACAGTGCAGGATCAGGGTGATTGGTGCTCCTTCACCACATCCTCCAACCTCCCCTCCTCGAGGAACGCAGAGGGAAGTGGAGAAAAGGAGCGAACCATGGGGAGAGCATGCTGAAACCCAGCTCTTTTGCCTGTGGTCAGTCAGCTCTGCAGCTGCCCTGAACTCCAGGGCAGAGTACTTTCAAAAACAGCCCCGAGCTCTGGGCAGCATCCTGTCTCTCAGTTTTCTTATCGCTAATGAGGGACACTGTAATACCCCTCTCTTGGTAGCATTGTGTGTAGGATCTGATGAAGCAACAGGTGACTGTGCCTGTGGATCGCTTGCACCCAGCAGCAATCCAATAGGAGAAGCGTGTCCCCCACCCTCCAGTTTGTGTCTTTGTTTCTGCCTGGAATCTAGTCTCTTGCTGTCTGTGTACCTCTGTCTCGCGCACCTGTCACGGGACAAAGCCTTCTCCTTGGAACAGAGACCATAGCTGGCTACCCCAAGCCCACAGAACCGCCCAGGTCCCTGCCTGCTCACGAGCCCCTCCATGCACCAGGTCACTCGGCTCTTGCAAGGAGCAAGCGGCCGGAGCAGGCATACATAGCCCATGAAAAGAAACAAACCATTAAAAGTTAGCAAAAGAGAGAAGCACTTACCGTTTGCTGCGACCCCCAGGCTGGCGGAGCCACTTTTAACTAAGAATGAGTTAGGGACAAACTCTTCCTCAGAGTCTGAGTCCGGGGTTGGCTGGGCCACACCGTTGCCTAGCAACCGCCTCTGGCTCTCATTGGCCGGAGGGGAGGGGGGCGGGGAGGGGGACTGCTCAATAGGGGTTGATGAAGCAGATGAACAATGCAAGGGAGCACCTGCGGGCCACAAAGACAAACACAGACAGAGAAAAATAATGAAAATCGGTTTCGAAGCACACGGGGAAGGGGGAGGCAACAAAATAAAACACGCATCAACGGGGGAGGGAGCTCCGAATGCTACGATCCACTGCACGTGTGGCCTGGACAGGGCCTGTCCCTGTGCAGAGAGAGTTGGTGAGCAGCGCTTGTTCTGAAGAGCAGGGGCGGGCCCACAGAAGTAGGCCTAGCAAAGACCACCTCAGAAACAGCAGGAGCGTCTTGTTTAGCCTTTCTTCTTTTCTTTGATAGAGGCCAGAAAGCCTGGAGGTGTCTACTGCTGACTGAGCCTTTACAGAACAAGAGGCTGCCTTCTATGAGCCACAGTGGCCTCTCTGGTAAAATGAGCAGCAGCCGGGGTTGGGTGAAGGCTGAGCCCCTATGACCCAGCCATTCTGTGATGTCACTGAACTGAAATGATGTTCTTATTAGTGAGATTTGAATCCGACTTGCCTGCACCAAGTCCTGGGCCTCATAAAAAGGTAGTGAGAGCTGGAAAAAATGATCTAAGGCTCTCTCCTCCACCTTTGGCGGTTTACAATTTCAGCGTAGCAGAATTTTTAGTTTTCTGAGGATTTGACATTTTATGATTCTTAAATCCTGACATTCTTTGCAAACTTCTTGAAATCAAGAGTTTTAGCAGTCTTACTCACTCTTTTATCCTCTGATCATAACATAATGCCAGGCTCACACAAGGCACAGAAAAGATATTTGCTGCATATATTAATGCTAGAGATATAACATGCTAGGATCCTTATGTCCTGATAGCTGAAATGATAACACCCTGTCATATCAGGACGGTGGCATTCTATGAGTTCCAAGACAAGACTCTGGCTCTGAGTTTCTGTGATATAGAACTAGCATATAGTTCTAAGTTTTTTTTCCAGCTTTCCATAGTTCTATGAGCAAACTCCCAACTCTTCAGAAGGAGGAGGTGACAACTTGGAAACACTCACAGTCTTGTCCTTTCCACACATGCAGTACATCGTGTACAAGAGGGGACATAAACACAAACACATAAAAGTATACAGTACAACACAGGCACCACTTGCCAGCAAGGGCTGTTATTTTCTCCCACCTTGACTGGCAGACTGTGTATGATACCATCGTATGTGAACAGCTCAGCAAACGGACTTAACCTCAGGAAACACAGCCCAGCCCAGATGGGTCATCGTAACATTTAGCAGGATCTTAAGAGGTACAGAACTTCTGACTTGTGGAGACACATGATAGAAGGCTTCTCGGCTCACCGCTACCAAATCTGGCAGTATTTTAAGGATTCCATCACTTTAGTGTCAACCCCTGAGCTTAATTGTGCATAACAACACTTTATAGAATTGCTTTGTGATCATTTGGCTGGTTATTTCAGAGATTTACCAAGGACAATGGAGGTAGTGGGGATCAATGACCAAGGTATATTCTTTGGGTGGGTTTTCCTCCTGGGTCTTGGTTTCTTTATCCAAAAACTTTGGACTATGGTTCAACTGTCCAAACTCATACCCCTGATTCACCACGAGAGCCTTCCCTGACACACAAGTCAGCACAAGAAGGCTGAGCACTCTTGCCTGCCTCAGCTCCCCATCTGATGCCATTGTTTTCTGTTATAGTTCAAACATCTACAACTGCCTCCAACACTAAAGTGTGCAATACACCCTGTGGGTACGGTTCACACTTAGAATGGGCTTCATGAGTTTAACGGAACTGAAGTGCACGTCACTGTCTACCATTTTATTGCTTCTATGATTTGGGGGAAATGACTTCCATGAGCCCATTTGAAAGCTCTCTGCTCCCCATACACTCTGATTTTGTTCAGTCACGGTAAGCACTATAGATGATCTGTGTGAGTCTCCAGTATACACGAACATGGAGGAATCTAGGGCCAGTGCTCACTAAATGTTTAGGAAATTGAACAAAACCATCACACCAAGACTCCTGTTCATGACTCTTTTCCCTGCAATCCCAGTTTTTGAACTTTTTTTCTCTACCAGGCTGCAGGTATTAAGCACATATATACTCATTTTCTCATCTTTTATTCACTCTCCATTCAGAGCCTCTGATGAGTCTGAGATAACCAGGGTCACACCACATACAGATGTTACAGATTCCGACCAAAGCTAAGATAGAGGATACATTGTTCCAGGGTGCCTATGACAGCTTCCCTCAGCAGAACTGTCAAGCTTCACTGACTTTACAGTTATAGAACTAAGTAAGTTGTTCCATCTCAAACTTCAGGATCCAGGTTCAAGTCTAACCCTATGGCTCCCTCAGGGCTTCCCATCTTCCTCTGCTTTCCTGTCTTGGTCATTCCTTGAGTTAAGGGTTCTTCCTGAATAATCACCATCAGTAACAGAATTCCCTAACAAAGAGTCAAACCTTAGGAGGTTGGGAAGTGTCTACAAGGTACAGACATTGCCAGAAATGTGTTCATTACCTTCTGTTCACTCACTGGCAGCCATTAATCTCAGTGATCTCTAAGGTAGCTGATCACAGAATAATTTTCCAATAGTCAAGAAAACCTTAGGAAATATTTCCTTTGTCAATTCAAAAGTAGTATGTGTTTTGTGATGCACATATCATAGCAATTGGAATATGTGGGTGGAATGGCATGGCTGTTATCCTTGGGTTTGTTTATTTTTCTTTACTAGAGTAGTGGATGTCTGGAAATGGACAGTGAATGGGGCTTCATCCTACAGATATCTCCTAAGTGTTTACTGTCATGCTGGAAGAGGAGGAGCACAATGAGAGACCAGGCACTGAACGGCCAGTGGGAGAATAGGGAAGAGGAGAGCACACACCGGCAGAGGTGGGGCAAGCCAGACAGCATGCCACCCGATGTAAGGATGGAAGGCTGGAGTTCATTTCATCTGGGAAGCGAGACAAGCTCCAAGGAGCTGTACAAGATTTCAGTGGACACACTACGGTATGAGCCTGTTTGGCAGAGGGCAGAAAACTCACACTTACAGGTCCCTTGCTTCTGCTGGTCTCAGCAATCTATCTATCCCATTCTAAAGTCTTGTGCTACTGTCAACCTCTCATCCAGTCTACAGAGACCTCTAGAGGCGGGGCCAGTTGCTCTTGCTCCCCTGGATTAGCCATTTTTTTTCTCTAAAGGTGTGAATGGACCTAACTCTTTGCACTGAATCCATCAGGGGGGCATGCCTAGAGTTCTATGGACGTTTTACCTCTGAGCTTTGCACATGCTGTTCATTCTCCATGGAGTCTTTGCTCTCCTTGCTACCACCCAGTTTGTCTGGGTGGTCTTACCTTATCCTCTGGGCTTGACTTCATGTGATCTTGGGCAGAAAAAAAACCTCTCTGATGCTGCACTCCTGGATTTCACCCCACTTAAGTGCTCCCCTGAACACCCTGGATCCTCCATGTTGCAACTTTGCCTACTCTGCAGTGTTTAGTTGTTCGTGCCCTGCTTGGCTTCTCTGTTAACCTATTTTTCCTGCCAAGCTTAGTGTCTCCCCTAGAGTAAGCAGGCATCAATATTTGCTAAGCGAATGGAAGGAAGGAGATTATCTTGATTGGGAGTAGCTTTAGATGGTGGATACTAGGAAAAGGAAATCAGATTCTACCTGGGGAACCATGGATGCTTTTGGAGCTGGAAGGTGACAAGACCAGGGAGTGCTCTGTAAGCTTACAGCATCTACGCAGTCACCCAGATTTCCTTCCTAGTTCACAGCTCAGTGGGATGTTAAATGTCAACATGACCCAGAGATTGCCTTTAGAGGGGAGCCACCTGCATACTCATGTAGGCCAATGAGGATGTCTGACTCTTGGGGGTCAGGGATGCTGAGGGGAACCCAGAAATACAGATGCAGCTACTGTGTCGTCAGATGAGATATGATGACTGGAATTAGCCTTCCCTGCACCATTCCAGCAACCACGGGGCTGCAGAAGGGTGTAAAGAGCCCGTTCTTTGGGGAAGGTTACAAATGGCTACTTTGATTTGAAAAGCTTAGGGAGACAAGGAAGAGACATTTCAACTTGGAACATCAGTTAGACATTTGCCTCTGTGTCACTCGTGTGTATTCCTTTCTGTGCACACATGCAGGAAGAACTTGCCTATCTATGTAAACTATGGAATAACTGTATCAATTAAATACTAGATTGCTTGAATTTCTTTGTAATTTTAATTTTTGTTAATTCTTGTACAGATATATATTGTACCAAGCATCTTTTCCTAGTTCCCCCAGTTCCTCTATTTTATTGCCCTTCACCTTTCCCATTCATCCCCTAGACAATGTCGCCTCTACTTTCATTGAATATATACATACATGTCATGTACATTGCTTGGGACAGGGTCCCAGTATACACAGCTTTGGCATGGAGCTGGTGAGGGTTGGCAAACTGAGGGAGAACAGACATCTGCAAGGTTGGGGTGGGAGGTGGAACAAACATGGCAGAATTCTTGCAGGAGACCAGCAACGGGTAGATGCTTTTCCACACAATGCTCTAGATACAGATTAATTCTCATGCTAAAGCTTGAGAAATGTAGACTTCGAGCCATAAAATCATATGTCTGCAGCCACAGGACTTTTAAGAGAACTCAGATCTCCAAAGTTCTTAGCACTGAATCCTGAGGGTGGAACTGATGAACCCTAGTTTGGATTCCCAAGGAGGCACAGGGGAAGAGACAAAGAGAAAGCAGAAGGACCGTGACTTCCCCACTGGTCAAACCTGGGATCAAAGCCAAGTTTTACCAGCTAGGTGACATAGTGTGTCACTTCCCATAGTCTCTGTTTTCTCCTTTGAAAACTGGAGCAACAGTAGTTGGGTGCAAAACATTGCTGGGGATTTGTGGCCTGATACTCACTGGGAGGCCAGCAGTCTGCTTGCTCCCAGAAAAGGCTCAACCAGTATTGCTCTTCCTGCTGTCTCTCCAAATGGAGACCAGAAGAGGTGGGTTTTGGAAAGAGACAACGGCAGTTCTGCAAGTCTGCCAATGAGACTTT